CCCAAAAAAAAAAAAAAAAAAAAAAAAAAAAAATGTGCAGAACAGTAGAAAGGAATGAAAAGATGAGTGTATCAACAGCTATTACAAATTGTACAATTGCCGACCTATCGTTGCCGAATAAAACCTACCGAGATTTTCAAAAGAAAGCAATAAAAAAGTGAAGAAAGATGAAAGATCAAGTTGTAAGTTGAGATCGCAGGGAAAAATTGTGAGAATATTCAAAGCAACTGTAAACGTCGTGACTTAATAAAAATTAGAAGAATTAGTAAAATAATAATCGTTACAGAGAGTACGGCAATACAATACATCTTTTTATCACTTCTTTGGTGACGTTCGGCTTTCTCTACACTTTTGAGTGCAGACTTAACTTTTAATGCCGCTTGTTCCACGTTATAATCAATTCTGTCCAAAACAGTACCCTAAAAACAGGAAAATTTGTACCGCTTATAAAATACGGCCACATTGACGATATACTCTGGAAGGAATAATAAAAGATTCATGTCACATCCCACCTGATCGACAATCATGGCTGCCAAGTCTTTAAATAAAGAATTAAGTTGAACTATCGACTTGCTGACAGCCAGCACATCTCTTTCCCGTTCCTTGACCATATCAGCATTTTGCAGTAGTAGTTGAATCTGCTCCATTGTTAAACCTGACTCCATTCATGCTTTAGAAACTGCATTAAACGATTGAAAATCTTGAAAAAAAAACTCCCGACCCGTTCAATAAAACTCATTGACGGAAATTTTAATTTCTAACCTTCATCACCCGAAGGCGCTTCGTCAAGTGCTTCAACAGTCACCCATCCACTTGACGATGATAATAAATAAGAATCAACAGTTTCCTTCCTAGCTTCTATTTGTCTCAAATAGGCTGCTTGACTTGTTCTAAAATCAGCAGTTATGTTGCTCAATTTCAGCCTAAGCGATGTAACAACATTCTCTTTCAGAAGAGCTTCTTGTGACTGCGGACGAACGTGGGCGTTCTCAATCATGCTGAAAAAAAAAAAAAAGAAGAAGTAGGAGTGGGAAGCTTAGCACAAATATGCAGTGATCTCACTTTTAGCTTATATAAACTACTCATTTACTATTCCCAGAAAAGTCGAACCCAATAAAACGGTGGCAGTGGCTTAGCATTTGAGTAACTTCTTCTGTACCCGCATCTATCTTTCTTTGTTCTTCAGAATCATCACTGAAACTAGGATTTGCAATTGAGCTTTGTTGAGCTTCACGAATGCTATTCAAGCGAAGTCTGATCCTACAATAAAAAAAACTGATTGGAATAAACCCATTATGCTTCAAAATAACTGAAAAGTGATCTGCAAACAAACAAAGTTTTACCGAGTAAATTCATATTGAGTTTCATCTACGTAAGTTATCCACTCAGAAAGAGTCTTAGACGTTTCGACTGCTGCATTGCCAGTTTCTTCGTCTAATGCAACTAGCGACATTTTTTCATCTACAAAATCGAGCTTAAAAACATGCAGTCTGTTGTGAAGGAAAAGTGAAGAAAAATATGCTCAATAAAGCATAAAATGCATATTAAAACAACAACAAAAAACCAACAGCAAGACACTCCACAAAAAGTCCCGACTTTACAGATGTATCTACAGTTAAAAACGACAAACAGGAGTTTACCTGCGGTCACCGGATAGTTATCACCATACATAAATTTATTCTGCTGCGCATTGTTACGCAGCAACATGAATACCTCAGTAAGGTTCCTGGTCGCACCCATTGGACATTGAAGACCCATAGAAATCATAATGATATTGGCATCTGCAATAACAACTGTCAACTTAGTTGACGCAGCAATGAAATTCTTTTAGAACTACCACAAGGTTCCTTGAGTCTTCCGTAAACTACAGATTCTAGAGTGTTTTCTTTTTTTTTTTTACTTTTTATTGAAATCCAAAGCATGCAATAAACAAAAACTTTTCGTTGATAACTCGAAATAGGCAAGAAATAAGGTCCTCAATGAAGTACTGAACTAACTTCAAGCAGAGTCAATCTCTTACACTTTGGTGAACTTCTCTACGCTTTAAATACCGAAGCTTCCAAGTTTTTACATTTTAGAGTTCTTATTTCCCTCCTCCAGAATGGACGAAAAAAAAAAAAAAGAACCAGAGAAAAACGAAAAAAAGCAACACCCTTCTTAAATTTCACGTTATATTATTGTCTAACCTCACCGAAAAAAAGAGTAAAAAGAATGCAGCAGAGAATTAAAAGTATAAAATCAATGACAATATAACATAAAATAATCTTAATAACCAAACATAAATCATTAAACACTCATGCGGATGATACTGTTTCTGCAAGAAAAATTCATTCTAAAAATTCTGGGTTCACCTAAAAGCAAGATAAAAGGAAAAAGCAAAAGAATGATTCAGCCCTCATTATCATAATTACTGCAAATAAACACAAAAAAAATCAATTGAATAATCTTAATCATGTTTTAAGTTTAACTTAACCAAAACGAAAAATAAAT